CCTTCCTTCCTTCCTTCCTTCCTTCCTTCCTTCCTTCCTTCCTTCCTTCCTTCCTTCCTTCCGCCCTCCCTCCCTCCCTCCCTCCCTCGTTTGCCAGCCTTATCAGGTAGACCAGGCAGAAAACATGACCAGATAAGCTAATTCTACTTTATTTGTAAAGCTACATTAACATTCTTGCAAGTCTGAAAGTTCAGTTCTCCCACCATCTCCTTTACAGCCTGAGAACTAGAGAGGGTCCCTTTTGAGCCTCTTGCCCCATCCACTATCCAGTTGCTGGCTATGCTGTCTATTATCTGACCATTCCCTAGGCAGTATCTCTTTGCCCCATCTCTCAAAGTCTTTCCCACATACCAGTACACTCTCTTTCTCTCATTAGGACTTCTTGATAAGGACCTAATAGCAATAGACTTCTAATCACCCAAGACTCTGCATGGACAGCGTTTGAAAAGTGTCCAGGTAATTCCCTTCCTCTGAAGTGATCACTACCCTGTACAGTGATCTGGAACTCATTTTGGCCTCAATGAATGTTGTGGCAAGGGTATGCTCTGCCATAAGCTCTGCCACCTGTGAATTGGACCTATGCCCCTCCTGGTTGCTTCATGGGGCAGGGTGGTATGAGTAACTGGATCAGAGAAGTAGTCAGCTGCACCCAGAAGGAAGTGGTGGTGTGACTCCTTCTTAAGACACCTTCCCTGAACCTAGCTGTTTTAGACCACTATCTCCAAGATGTAGCTCTAAGTTACAGAGTGCCCTAGAAGAAGGGGATCACTTGAACCTTTTTCAGTCAAGGTTCAGGGCTGGAGGTGGGACAGAAAAGACATGGATGCTCTGGTAGATGACTTTTCCTGGATCTTATATGGGGAGAGCATTTGCCAAGCTTTAGCTAACGTACTAGTCATAGTCCTGTCTGGAGCAGGAACCAGTTACTGCCCTATCTGGAGCAGGAACTTACCGGTCACCTCATCAATTTGCTTTCCATGGGGCTGTCTTTGAAGACCATCCAGAAACTGCAATTGATGCTGAATGCAGTGGATTGCATGCAGGCAGGTGAGAGTCACTACAGTTTTATAAGAGCTGTGCTGTGGATGCTGCATGGGTTTCCAGTAGGTTTCCAGTAGGTTTCTGAGTACAATTCAAAGTGCCGTTTTAAAACCTTACACAAGTTGACTCCTAGGACCACCTTCTCCAGACAGAACCCACCTATCAATACAATTATCCCAGGTGGGAAAGCTTTGGGTACTCCACAGCCATGACAGCAGTGCTTTATGTGCTGGACCTCATCTTATGGAACAGCCTCCTCTCAGAGATTTTGGTTTCACCTCATTTGCATCATTTAGAAGGGCTCTGAAAACAGAACTCTTCTGCAGGGCATTTCAGATCTAATGGTTATGGGATTATGTAACACCATGGCTCTTATTTCTGTATGTATAGCTGCTTTTATGTGTAGATATTATACGATTGTAAACCACTGAGAAATTGCTCAAAGCTGGTGGTAAATAAGTAGGTAGATGGGGCTATCAGCCCGGCAAGCATTTACAAACCTCAGCTTAGATGCCATGCCATGCCGGGGGGTGGGGGTGGGGAATCTGCATCTTGTCTTTCTAGTTTCCATTCATGAAAGAGAATTTGCTGTTGAAATTTACTACAAAGAAGAGAAATTCTCAGGAGTGGAGTTGCACTTAGTTAATTATGAAGTGGCTGCCTGGATACCTTGTCTGTTACTGTACTATCTTCTCTTCAATGGTCTGAAGCTGTCCTGACATTCAGTGCTTCAGTTTAATCCCAAAGGGGAATATCATGAATATCATATCCTTTCTTTGGGCTTTTTCAGCTTGGACAGCCCAGGAACTTCAGAAAGATGGTAACAGAAAACACCTATGCTAGCAGGAGCGCCCTTCACACCTCTAGCTGTATTAAGTAATCTTGTCAACCCTACCTAGATAAATTCAGAAGAAATGTTCAAGCCAAGAAAAAAGAGATGCTTCTTTCGAAGTGGGGGGAGGGGGAAGAACACTTGAGAAACTGAGAGGCAGATTACAGCAAGGCTTCAGGAAATACAGGCTGACAACCTAGTTTTGAAGATGTCCTCAGCAACGTGTGATTGCAGGCCTAGTCTAAGCTCCGTTGTCTGACCTTGTTATTAAGGAGAGAGAAGGCAAGAGAGTTTTTCTACCAGGGATAGAAACAAATGTTACACTTAGAAGTTGAAACAAATTAAAGCCTTCATTTGAGCATCACTATTCATGTAAATAAGGCTATTTAGTTTAAGTAATT